ACGATGGCAGCCACCTTCTTATCCGCCGTGTGAATCCCTTCAGGACATATCACATGCCCCAGGTACTGGAAATGGCCTTGGAAGAAGCAACATTCCTCACGCTCCATGCGAACACCCCCAATCAGCAAACCTCTTGAACACCTCCTCCAAGCTTTGAAAATGCTCCTCTTGAGTTTTGCCTGTGACTAAAACATCGTCCAGGTAGGAGATCCTCCACGGATTCCTTCCAACACGTTGTCCATGACACCTTGAGAAATGGAAGGAGCCGGTGCAATTCCGAACGGCAGACTGTTCATCGGGTACAAGCCCCGGTGTGTCGTTATCGTCAGGAGCTTCCGGGAATCTTCGTGCATGGCAATCTGTTGATAAGGTCTATTGAGGTCAATCTTGAAAAACTCTGACCACCAGCCAGCACCGAGAAAAGTTTATCCACTCTTGGCAACTGGTAGTGCTCGACGTTCAAGACCGGGTTCAGTGTGGTTTTATAATCCCCACACAACCTTATGGAGCCATCCTTCTTTGGCAGTGGAACCAGTGGAGTTAGGAACTCGCTACTAGTTGGTGTGATGACCCCAGGGCATCTAGCTTTGTCAGTTCTTTCTCACTTCTGGCACTAATGCAAAAGGCAAACTTCTAGCTTTCGGTAACTTGAGCTGGCCTCCTCCTTTCAAAAACAACCTTTCCTCTACTCCCAAAGTCTTTCACAATTCGTCCCCGAAGATTTCATGATACTTGCGCAGAATCTCCTGCAGCCTGTCAACATGGGATGTTGACTGCCCTTGCTTGCTTCCGTGAAGCTTGTCTAACCGTAGCTCTTGCAGCCACTCTCGCCCAAGTGGGTGGACCGGGCTAGTGTAGCACATACAAAGACAGAAGCTTTGTCTGCATGTTATGTGGCGCATCGATGTCGATAACTCCGCGGGTTAACGTTTCACCGGTGTACGTTCGCAACCGAGGTGACGTCTGCCTCAACTTTGTTTGAGCAAACTTGTCGCGGTACTGCTTCTTTGAAATCACAGAAACCGCCGCTCCAGTATGAAGTTTCGTTGTCAACAGAGACTTTTGTACTAGGACTTCCTCCTTGAGAGGTTGATATGATGTTGCCGTCATGCTTTTGACAGCAACGTTTCCGGTTCCCTCTTCCGCCGAAAACGACTTGAGCAGTTTTTTCTTCCCTCGTGGTTTTTATTTTTCTCGCAACGGTGCGGCAGACACGATGAATGTGCCCGACCTTTTTGCACTAAAAACAACCGTCTCGCTCTGAGGACAAGCACTTCTAATATGCTTGTTTTGATTCGCACCTATTACAGAACCCTCCTCGCGTTTTGGGATCCTCTTTGTGGATTTGCAACTTTTGAACGCCGGCACTCTCGCCCTGCATGCCGCTGGTACCGGAGCCATGTATCTCGGAGGCACTTCTTATAGCCGAGTCCTGCGCTGTTGCTCGGTCAACTGCTTTCTGAAATGTGGCGTTTTATCCTCCGCGAAGAGTGCTTGCTGAATGTCCACACGCCGCAACCCGCACACAAAACGGTCACGGAATGACTCATCCAGGGAAGCGCCAAACTCGCACGTCTCAGCGAGCTTCCGTAACGCAGCAACGAATTGCGCAATAGACTCTATTTTCTTGCCCGCGGCGGTGAAACCTTGCCCGCTCTGCGATGATTGAAGGTTTCGGTCCCAGGTGGTTTCGCAGCAACTATGTCAGCTCCGCAAGGGACTTTGTTGCAGGTAACGATGGGGGTGTCAACGATTTGAGGAGGTTGTACGTCGTAGGCCTATCTAGGCTTAAGAAGGCGTCCACCTTGTTGATGTCCGGCACCCGATTTACCTTCAGAAACGACGTCAGTCTCTCCCCGTACGCAGACCGGGAACCTAGAGAAAAGTCGAAATGTTCCACGTGCCCAAACCTGGCCATGGTTTCCTCGTCGTTGGCTGCGTTGTTGACCTCTTCGGTGGCTTAGGTCGTCGCCGTCACACCATTCGGCGTCTCGCTAACCTTTCCGGAACTCTCGTAGATCCGTTCGTCGGTCAGCGCCGAACCATCCTCGTCGCCACATTATGTTGTGGTCCCAGATTAATGACTCACGAATGCCGTGCAGGCTGAACTGTTCCTTCATAACAGCACCAACATATGAGTGACTTGCTCGAGACAACCCACATTGCAGCATGGCGTCGCATGACAAACGCGGCGAACGTTCCAGAACTGGCGCCCCCAAAGTTTCCAGATACACAGGTACTTGAGCCAAACACATGAGACTATTACCCTTAACTTTACACTATACCAATATTTCGAACCCCCTGCTAAATGTCCACCCTACATCTTTTAACCATACTCAGTTTCCCCACCCCTGGCCGGGTAGCGATTTGCCCCATAAAAGCGGGCCATACATCTCCCGGCTGTCCCCCTTTTCTGTCAGGCCACACCAAACAAACAAACAAACAGACAGCATATCAGGCCAAAACCAATTCGGTGGAATCTTTGATTGATGTGCACTTTTGGGTGAGCAGCTAAAAAAATGTAAAAATGCACCTTACAAAAAAAAAGGGGGGGGGGATCTTTTTTTCTTGTTTTAGTGAGAACCGTTTTTGTTTTTTTGTTTTCTTATGAAGGACCGTTTTTTTTTTTCTTTCTGTGGAGAGCAAGTCGTCTGCTTCTTGCGCAGCAGTGTCGCTGACGTCAGAACGACACCGAGCTCTGATTGGCTTTGATTGAAAGGATGGTGACGAGACCTCAATGCTGGAGGCCTTGAGGTCTACCCACCTTTCTTTCAATCAGCCAATTACAGCTCGGCTTCTTACGTCATCGCAGCCCCTGTGCAAGAAGCCGCTCTGCATTCTAAGAACTCGTTCACGCTGGTCGTCATGTTGTTTTTCCTACTGAATCGATCACTGGAAACAACGAGTGAAGCACGCCACTGGTCTTCCTTAAAATGAGGAATGGCGTTCCGAGCATTATCGTCTTATTATCGTTACATAGCCAATAAGGCTGAGGCATCAGCCAATAAGGACGCCGAAGAACGAATCACGAAGAAAGAAACCTGAACATGATAAACCACGCCCTGCGTTTTGTAAGTTGTCAGTGACTGGCTCCGATTGGAAGGATAGTGGGTAGACCTCAAGGCATCCAGCATTGAGGTCCACTCACCGTCCCTTCATCAGAGAGAATCAAAACTCGGCATTCTGACGTCGCCGCAACCCCTGCGCAAGAAGCAGACGAGCTTGCGCTTCGCATACGGCTAGAAACTGAAGGAGAGGAGGACACGAGAGCGCGCGGCAACGTTGGAACTCCGAGTTCTGGTTGCAATGATTAGTGGGTAGACGCAAAGCCAGAGCTGCCTTTGTCTCTACTCATTGTTCGAGCGCACTCGAACGCCAAACGCCGCATTCAGCGTTCGGCGTTTGCGTTCGAACGCGTTCGAGCAGGGAGTAAAGACAAAGGCGTCTAGCTTTGCCTCTATCCACTGATCATGCCAACCGGAGATCGGTGCTCTGGCGTCCCCGCGCCCTCTCGTTTCCTCCTCTCCTTCCTAGGCCGCCGCCATGTTGCTGATGCTGATGCTGATGCTGCTGGTGCGACTCTCGCACCTTCTATCAGCTAGAAATTTTCTGCCACTCTCTGGGACTGTGAAGACCCGCTCAGCGCGGTTCTCTACCAACGCTTTTGCGGTTTTGCATTCGACGTTTTCTCGCCTCTCTTGAAAGTTTCCACTTAATTTTTTTATCCGTGCTGCGTACCCTTTTTGTGTTATCTTCCATTGTGAGAAATAAGGCTGGTAAGTGCCTGCCATTCAAGCTTTTCTGCTCGACATTCACGGAAAACGAAGGAGTTGAAGGACGTCGAACGACCCTCGACGCGATTTTCCGAACATTGTTCTCCTCCCTCCCAGAGATAATCCGCGTAGAATCCTCAATCATCTCCAAAAATAGTTGTCCGGGTTGGGGTGAGAAACGGGTCAGTCGCGTTTGTTTCTTTGCCTTGGTGGGGTTGTGAAAAAGGAAGCTCTCCCCAAAACGAAGTCATCTCGGATTCCATCCGATCGTAAATATGTAACTGTCGTCGACTGTGACTGTGTTATTTGAGATCTTCCTCAAATAAATTCTTTTCGGATAATGCTGCATCGTGTGGTACGTACGATATACTGTTCGAATGTTAACACTTCCTGTTCATCCGTAAACACGTTATTTGTGAGCGTGAAAAATGCATGCCTTTCGGCCCTCTTCTGTTGCAATTTATTTTTGACAGCAAAGCGCTTTGTCGTTTCACATGCGGCGAATCCCGCGGCACCGTCAAAACTTATCGTAAGAAAAAAAAAAACAACTAGAACTGTATACATTCCAGTCGCATTCGTTCTGTCGCGCGCGTACCCAACAGAAATAGTTAACAGTCTTTTTTGTTTTGTTTTTTTGCGTGTTTTTTTTTTAATGTGGCACAATGCTTTCTCAATGTCCCCGTGAAAATACATGTACCATGAAACACAAAATATAGCGGGAAAAGACAAGAATTTAGCCGCCAGCAGCGTTTGAAACTGCGCCTATTGAAATCACAGTCCACTCGGTTAGGGTTAGGAGGGACGCCGGTGAGAGTCTAGCCTCAAACTCAGTGACTGGGCTCGAAAACGGTTTGTTGCCCCTGGGGTCGAGCGTTTTTTTTTTTTTTTTTTGGAAAGGTGTATAGACAGTACATATCTGATCACGAGATTATCCCGGCGGCCGGTAAGCCTAATGCGCCGCCGTCACAGACTGCTCGTACATAATACAGAAGACGATGTGTTCGCTGGAGACACGATGGCAGGAGTACCTGCGGAGAGGCTTCTCGCGTAGCCTCACGCACGTTGAAATGACGTCTGCTTCGTACGTATATAGAACATGTCTGCAGGCAGTTTTTGTAGGATCAATGGGACCAGTCGTGCAAGAAAGAAACAGGCTTCAGATGCAGAAAGGTCTTCTTGCACGGTGTATTCTCAGTGTCACTGTGGCTTAGTGATGGTTTTGGACAGGGCCCGGCCTGGTGTTCATCGTGTACCCGGAGGCCATCGCCGCCATGCCTGGATCCACTTTCTGGGCTATCATCTTTTTCCTCATGCTGCTCACACTCGGACTGGACAGCTCGGTGAGGTCTCCCCCTCATCTCCTTACATGGCAGAAAAGGAAGAAAAAGCGGGGGGATTTGCGTATTTGTTTTTCTAAGGGCGAGTGAAATCGCTACACTATAAAAAAAAAAAAAAAAAGAAGAAAAAAAAAAAAACGACGGTCATTGTTATCTACCCAGAGAACTGGAGAAACACCGATAATGTCTGGATGTGACCTTGCGCATGACGCTTTACATGCTCATGTCGTGCTCGGTGTTACATTATACCTCTTAGTTTTAAAAGTTTAAGCTGAGATCTCGACGATTCATGGAGTGCTTTGTTGGAAACGTGACGCAGGGTCATTTATCTTATTGTACGTACGTACAAGCGGCACGAACAGTTTTTTTTGTTTATTTTTTATTCGTGTAATAATTTATTTGTGGGGCTATCAACGATTGAATTAAAATCGGATCATTGCTGTCCGTTATAGTTGTGGAAAATGTTACAACCATAGAACTAAATATTAAAATCGCTTTTGTTTTCTCTTTCAGCATAAATAAATAACGAATGCAGCCAAAATTCGCACAGCGAACAGATGAAACAGTATTACAGGCTATTTTAATTGCCATGTCGTTTTTGTTTGTAAACCCAAAAAATAAAAAAAGAAGCAAATCTAGGGTTTGCTTTTGATATATTAATCAGAAGTTTATGCAGTGTGTTACCCTATTTTTGATTGATTCCCACCACTGTTTAATCGAAAGGAAGGTTTTACGTTTTTGAGATGCGATTGAGGTTAGTGCGTTGTACATCTGGTGTCGGCCATATCTGGCGCTGTAAGGACGATGCAACAATTTTTACTTCGAAAGAATGAGCATTTTTAATTTTTACATTGTATATATTACCGCAAGAAATGAAGAAACCGCCTCATTCTTTTGAAATATTGCAATAATCTTGCGTATAATAGCCAAGCAAAGAACGGAAATATTTAGCGATTTGCAGCCGCGAGTTGCGGCCATGGGAACTACGGCGTACACCAGCTGGGTGCATTATAATAAGTTGACAAGATGAGAAATTTTGTGCTCAATTAAGGGCTCTATTTGATCAATATTGTCATTTCAACATGAATAAATATGTGAAAGGCCTCATATCATCCACACAACTGTAGTATATTCAGTTTTAATGGCGCCACCTGCCCGAAGTCAACAAAGTCGTTCCTCTCTTCGGAAGACGGCGCAAGAGTTGAGAGCGGTTAAGAAGCGCTCAAACTTCAATTTCTTGACATAAAAACAATTAAAAAAAAAAAAAAAACTAACACGCGCAGGCAAATTTGGTTTTTAGCTCTTTACTTCAGATACGACAGAGAACTGCCACAAGTATTTGAGGGAAGTCCAAAAATTGTTGCACGGTCCCTTTTCATGCCGACCGGGTTGACCGGCGCAGTTCGGGGGCTCCGAGGCCATCATCACGGGCTTCAGTGACGAATACCCCTTCGTCAAGAGGAACAGGGAGCTCTTCGTCGCCGGCCTCTTCACGCTCTACTTCATCATCGGGCTCGCCAGCTGCACCCAGGTAACATATCCCGAGGACGCCTTTCGGCTAACCGAAGTCACCTACCGGCCAGACCTCCTGGACAACAAGCCGACGTTCTGGACTAGTGACGTCAGTCACTAATCCAGAACGTCGGCTTTGTGACGGCGGTGTTCCGCATTCGAACGCGTTCGACGAGTGCAGTGGAGCCAAAGGCGGCTAGCTTTATGCCTACCCACTATTCATTGCAACCATAACTCGGCGTTTCGACGTCTCCGCGTGCTCTCGTCTTCTGGTCTTCCTCGGTATCTTGGCGTATACAGATATGAAACGAACGCGATTTCTTTTCACAAGTTCTGTGCACCGATATTAGAGGCATGCTGGTATGAAAATACAACTCAAATTAGTTGTTCGCAAGTTCACTCGCGCGAAGTAAAGTAAGCAGATTCTGTACCCTATGAACTTGTGCCTTTGCCAACCAGAACGCTGCGCAGAACAGATGAAATAGAATATTCTATCGAAATGTGAAATAGAAACATCCCCGTTGCGAATTCTAGCCATACTGTACATTTTGGCTCCGTGATATTTTACTTCATTTAATTTTATTTTATTTAACTCCTTCAAGTCACCCATTTCTGTGCTTTACATAAGAGGGGCGTACACAAAGTCAAGAAGAATCAGTTGCACACATATGCTACAGAATCTGGTCACGTCATATGTTTTAAGCGCATCTCTGAAATAATTTGTGTTAAGTATAGTAACAATGCTATCATGCAGCCCGTTCCACAATGGGGTTGAAAGTTGCAATAGTGAATACATAGTAAAGGTTAGTTCACGGAGTAGCTAGGGCAAGCTTACAACGGTTACCTGTTTGCGGGTAAATGTGGCACGCGGGTTTATAATATTGTTGCTTGATCGATTGGGGGGATGATAATACAATCGGTAGCATTAACAGACCCGAACACGTTTTACGGTACTGTAAATTTCTTGGACGCTGCTTTCTCGTTTGAAGTCTATAAGGCGCGCAGCTTTATTCTGTATAGATTCAAGCATACCTATTAGGAATGACTGATAAGGGGTCCACACTGATGAAGCGAATTCCAACTGTGATTTGACAAGAGCGTTAAAGGCAATTAACTTTGTATCTTGAGAAGCGAATTTTAAATGTCTACCTGTTCTTAATTCAGTTCTCAACATTTTCTAAATCAATAAATTTAAGAAAAAGCTTTCCGTTTTTGGTGACATTACGCCCCTTTGATAAAAGAGTTCAAGAGGTTTCATCGGTAATGAAGGGACGAATCAGGCTTCTAAAGCACTTTGGGAGTACATGTAACTGGAGATCAGGGCACCTAGGTCGGATATTTACATATGCGTTTTAAGATGTCAGGAAAGTAACGCATTGGCGTCTGATTGCTGGAGGCCAATTGCCTCCACCAATCAAACGCCAATATATCGATTCCGTGACATTTTAGAATGTACGTGTAAATGTCTAACCTAGCCCTCCCGTGTTCCGATTTCCGTCAACAGATAATAGAAGGGTGTGTCCTGTTTGGCGTTTGTTACATGCGCCTTGCCGTCGGAGCCAGCCTTCATCTCAATAATATTTTCTGACAGCGTCTAACCAATTTATTATGTGCTATGAATTTGTATTGTCTCCAGGGAGGCGTGTACGTGGTGAACATGCTCGACCGGTATGCTGCCAGCTACTCCATCCTGATCGCCGTGTTCTTTGAGGCTGTGGCTGTCTCCTGGATTTATGGTACGTCCAATTTGTTGCGTGAATATTTACATATAGCATGAGGTCAGCCTGCATATAAAACACATGACGTCTTATATTGCCACTATCATAAAATAGCGATTAGACGCCCACCCTTACAGAAGCGGCAAAAGGTAAATATATGAGTCGGGCGATCTTTCGGGAAAAATTGGGGGAAAAAAAGGGGGGGGGGGGGGTGCGTCCGTTCAGTATTTTAAGGCTGGTTCACACATTTGTTTTTTTTTCGACAGCGTTGCAAACTCTCGTGACCTTTTATGACGAGAGAACACGCTGGCATAGTGGCGCCATCTATTGGATAATTCTGAAACATTTCCGATCTGCAGGATACTCGAAAACCTTCGGTAGACCCGAAGATTTTAAAGTATCTGCGACATTGAATCTACGCACTATTTATGAGAAATCATTACTTATAACATCTTAGAATTCATCAAGCCCGTGATGAAACAATAATGCGCAAAAAATATATATGCAGATCGGAAGAGTTTAAGGGCTACCCGATAGATGGCGCCAGCGTGCTTCTGTCCAAAGTAGGGCTCCTCAATTGAAGAGACGGTTCATCTCAAACTACGGGAAGCATTCGCAATTTAATGGCGGACGCCTCCTCCGCAGATTGGTCGGAAGTGCGCATGCGCTGCGTTTTCGCGAGGCGAGGAGGAAAGCAGGCGGAAGCGTTTGCAGACTATCAACGCTTTCGGCGCCTTCTCGCAGCTCGTGTTGAAAGCGCGGCTCATGAACCATGTGATTCCGGTCGAACACTTGGACACTCTTTGTAATACAGGCCCTCTAGACCTAGGCGGTCACAACAGGTTGCAACGCAGATGAGCATCGAACGCAAATGGATGGGGTATATAGGGACAGTTTAGCCGTGTGCAGTACAACTGCTGGCCAGAATTTGTAGCTAGCTTCACGCAGTAGTGATATACACACGTAGGTGCAACGACCGTTCATATTGGAGACGCGGAAGGTGTGGAAACCCACAATATTTGAGGCTTGAATGGGAGATTTCGCTTTTTGCAGTATAGACTTGCTGTGCATTAGAACACTCGACCATTGTAAGGTAAGTTATCTGCACGCGACGCTGTTTGGAACCGTTCACACACACGGAGTATGTTCTCCGTTCTTTAATAACTTATGTACCGTTTTCTATATATAAAAAAAATATAAAAAAAACTACGTTTATGCGCGCTTTTTCTTATGTGTTTCCTAAACTTGGCGGATGGCGGCAGACTCATCGCGAAACGCTGTGCTTTGGTGGTTTAATTTTTTTATGTCCATTTTTGCTACATCAGCAGGACACGGGAGCAATTTTAAATTATTAAAGGCCACAAGCAACTATCAGCAGACTTCTTTATAATAAAGGCAATGCATGCCCTCTTTTTTTCTTCTTAGGAGGCTAACAGTTATCCAAAAATACGGATGATGAAACGCAAACTTGTAATAAGGCGATAACGGTTTCTAACGGGCTTTTTGACACACGCCCTCGTTCTGAAGTCTTCGCAAATATATTAAGTATCGTTCGAATGAATACGTCAAGTTGTGACCGCAACCCATATGGCGGAAGAAAGCGATTCTTGAAACAAAACCACAATGTATCTCCTAACTCAAAATTCTTAAAATCACCCCTCCCACACACACACACACACACACACACACACAAAACAAAACAAAAACAAAGCAGAACAAAAAAGTGAAAGCCGTTTAGAACTCCCTGTAACGCCGAATTAGAGCGCAGCTCTTGAGGAGGAGGAGGGAAGGGTACTGAGGGGGGGGGGGTCACGTGACCTTGGGGGGGGGGGGGTGGTCGGTCCCCCCCTCCCCGAGGTTACCGAAGGCAGCCGAGATTCTCCCGTAGGAACCCGAGGTCCTCCCGAAGGAACCCGAGGTCCTTGGGGGGGGGGGGGGGGGGGGTGCTCGCGGTTACGGCGACGGCGACGGCGACGGCGACGGCGACGGCGACACCGACGCCGTTCAAGCCGGAAACGGGTGCCTAAGAGCTGCGCTCTAAAAACGTTCATTTGATTTGAGGATGGAGGCTTCAAACCAGATAGCGTTGATCGGTTTCATACATCTCTTGTCGCAGACAAAGTGTAGTCATAAAATATATATCTTTATATAGGGATTCTCATAAATATTACATAAATTTAAATTGCGCACTTTGCACAATAATTCGCATGTTTATATTTTGACACCAAATAATTTTTGTATCAACACACGCAAGTTTTTTTTTTTTTTCACCAGTAGCGGAACGAAGCAGCAGTTCCCACACCTTAATACAGGATCCCAACTCTATTAAAGCGATAGCTAAAAGCAGCCGAACAGATCCGTTAAAATCATTGCATTTACTTTTAGTTTGCCTGATGCCACGGGGCGATATAATCAAATGAAAACTCGGTAGCGGGGCTGGTCTGCGTTTAAACAAGGCCAATTGGTGTCCGGAAGGAGCTTGCATAGAAGACAATTGCGTTGACTTTCGGAAGTGGCCCGTAGAACGGCGTATCCTTATAATAATTTAAGTATTGCTAATGCACAATGCGTTTTCGTATTACTATTTATACATTTATACATGAGGAGTATAGACACAAAGTGGAGACAGTGCACTAGGAAATTAAGAGGAAAGTTTTTAGGCTATGGTGGAGTTACGGAAGAGCAGGCCTCAGTTAAGAAGAAAGTTAAGGCCACAGAAAGAGATCGGTGGCTAGAGGGAATACAGACAAAGACTGCTCTGGAAAGCTATAGATTAAACAAAACAGATATTGCCAAAGAAAGCGTTTATGACAATTCTAGGGGAAGCTCATTGTTGTTTGAGGCAAGGACAGGTGTTTTGCGTACCAGGACATACAGAGCGAAATACCAGGAAATGGATACAGTGTACGCTGCTTGTGGAGAGGAGGACGAGACGGCTGAGCAGGCTGATACTCTGCTGTAAAGGGCTTCACCCTATGCCTACCGAAGAAAACATAGATTTAATAAAGTCATTGGGTTTTAGAGTCAGCGAAGGAAAAGTGGATTTCAAGACAGTAGAGATTGCCAAGCAAAGACTAAGTGAATGGTGGCAGAAAGCGAGAGAAGACTAGGTATTTTCTTATTAATTGATGGCAAGGATGTTTTATAACCTCACTTTCTTTTCAGTGCGGGGTGAATATAGTTTTCACATTTAAATATTCTATGCTTAAATGATAGAACAAAATGGCTAGGTGGCGTAAGCTACCGCCCGATCCATAGGGCTCAGCCGGATTCATCCATCCATCCATCTATCCTCTCATCCGTTGTCTGCCGCTCCACCTTTTCCATTTCGGCTGCCGCTTCTCGTGGCGATCTGCCAGGCTTTGCCAGTATATCGGAGGCAATGGCACCACTTTCTATACATGGGTGGAAGAGGATGCTAAACACACCAGTCGAAGTCGCGTTTCAGGCGCCGTATTTAACGTGCAGATGATTTGTGCAGGGATTCGCCGGTTCTCCGAGGACATCCAGGAGATGCTGGGCTTTCCCGTGGGCTGCTGGTGGAAGTTCTGCTGGGCCGTCGTGGCGCCTTTCTTTATCCTGGTACGACGACCTTTCGCTGGACACTCTCTTCACCTGCAGGCCATGCGCAGACAAGGCTGGCCGTTAGAACGAGAACTAGATGGTCAACCCAAAAAACATACAAAACAGCACTTTTTTTTTAACCTTTAGTTTGAAGGATCTGCTTGACTCAGGAGTAGGAGAAAACGATGTCGCTACTGCAAACGTAGAAAATACGGAACTTTTTTTTTTCTTCTCAGAAATAGGGATCAAGATTATGCAAAAGCTACGCACAGCTAGCATGGACCCTTTTGCTAATCGCCATCTGTGAGCTGCCATCTTTGTCTAGCACAGCTGTGAAACGCGTTTTGAGCATGCGCAGAAGCTCTCTTCTCCGGAATATCAAGCGCTGCGCATGCGTCTACGGTCCAGTGACTTGACATTCTTCAGTGCAGATTGTTGGGCTAGTTGGTACTGGGAATTTGACGTCATGATGGCGCTTAAGACGAGGACAAAAAGGAGACAGACAGCACGGAGCGCTACTTCAACTGTTTATTTTTGACCATTAGGGGGGGACATATATACACTCACACCGCTTCACCTCAGCCAATCCCGGGCCTCACCGTCGCTCGCAAAAACGCTATCTCTTTGTCTAACAGGTCAATGGAGGCAACGCTGACACACTGTGCTCCAGACTGTGCTCCAGACAGAGGAAACGGACTGTGCTCCAGACAGAGGAAACAGTCTGGAGCACAGTGTGTCAGCGTTGCCTCCATTGAACTGTTTGACAAAGACATAGCGTTTTTGAGAGCGACGTTGAGGCCCGAGATTGGCTGAGGTGAAGCGGTGTGAGTGTATATATGTCCCCCCCTATTGTTCCAAAATAAACAGTTGAAGTAGCGCTCCGTGCTGTCTGTCTCCCTTTTGTCCTCGTCTTAAGCGCCATCATGACGTCAAATTGACATTCTTCACCTGGGTGAAAAACGCTGGAAATGCGTTTACCTTTATAGCGCTCGTCACCCAGGCGAAGAATGCCGAGTCACTAGGCCAGTGATTTCCCTACACAACCCCTTGGGGAGAGGTGTATACCCCTTGTTTTTCTGAAGGCACCCTGTTACTTCGCTACGAGTCCTCTGCTCTCAATGCCCCCCCAATTATATTCCTGGGGAGACACCTGCACTATGCTGTGAGCCCCTCTGATCTCTATGGTTGCAGGCTGGATCGCGGATCGAGGCTTGTTTTGGCTGGGGTTGAGCGGCATCACCGACAGCCATCGCTTGACACCAGCTAATACATAGGACTGGAGAAACGGGGAAAAGTGCAATTTCTTACCTTAGTAGGTTGTTCTCTAGAATGAGCCTTTTATCGTATTTTCTGGAAATGGCAGTCAATATTCTGGGTGAAAAACATTAAAAGCGTTAGGTGTTTTTTTTTTCTTTTTAAAAAATGTTTTGTGGTTGAAGGCCGAGAATTGCGACTTTGTTGGGAGTAAATTGTGATGTGGTTCAATGTGACAAGGGTTCTTGAGAGTCAATGCGGAGTCATTCGTTATCTCGAGGTCATAAGAGCTTAGCAGACGATAAGTTAGAATGCATTTACTTTGGGCATTCGCATCGTTGCAAGCGTTTGTACAAAGTACCTTTTTTTTTTTTTGCAGTTAGCGTTTTTGGGACGAACTAAAACTCGGAACGAGTTATTCGTGTCATTTATTTAGAAATTGAAGCAAGCGACGCCGGCGCAGTCGGTTGCGCTCCGGCTCTTTTTTTTTTTTTTTTAATCGGTGTCCGATCGTTTGTTAAATACCGACTCTATCTCCAAACACCCAATATAATGATTGCAGTACATCATAATATCCTCGCCTTCGAGCACCGCGTACAAGCTTCAATATTCCTACTTTTGCATGTTTTTCCCATAGACTTTGCGTGTACTGCTCAGTGTCAAACAAATGGCCGCCGGTGGTGCCACCGACAGGCTCCTTATCCGCGATCCAGACACCCATGCGTGGCGTTTGATATCGCGCGGTAAAAAGAGCCATTGCACTAGGGGCGTCGGAACAGTGGGGGCAGGGGGAGGGGGAGGGGGGGCGACCGCCCCGTCCCCCCACAGACAGTTCAGAAATTTAATGGAAACAATACAGGGGAAGGGGCGAAACATCGCGCCCACCATTACCACCACAGATAGCGTCGTCCCCCCATCTCCTGGATAGTTCCGACTCCTCTGCCTTGCGAATGCTCCAAACACGTTTCACAGCCCACTAGAGACAAAAATAGCAGATCACAGAAGAACATTATTGGAATGGTCTGTAGCCCGAAGAGGCTTCAGAGTCATAAGAACTCTCTCGGGAATATCGTCATCGAAAATGCTCACACTGGCGGCTCCCGGTCGCAGATCATCATCGCCAGCGGCCTGGTGAACTACGAGCGACTGTCGTACAACGAGTACGTGTACCCGTGGGGCGCCGACGCGGTGGGCATCTGCGTGGCCGCCTCCTCCGTGCTCTGCATCCCGGCCTTTGCCCTCTGGAACCTCGTCAGGACCCCCGGCACCCTGGGGCAGGTACGACTGCACTCCTGCAGGGCGGAGGTTATCGGACGTCACACGACGCTGTTCTCGAGGCACCGAGCAAGAACCTGTCTCCGAGCGATACGGTACCTTTAAGAGCTGTAGTCGCACTGCTCAGACATCCTACGAAGGACGCGGTGTTCGCTCCAGATACGATGACAGATATGTCTGCGCCTTACGCATCTTGGGAGCATGTAGGCCTCATACACGCTTAGAACATGTCTGCAGACTGTTTTTGTATGACCAGTGTGAGGACCGTTGTACGTCCAAGAGGCACGCGTCAGGCAGTGCCTGCCCACTGTCTTTTGTATATGATGCCTGTGGGACCGCGGCTTTAAAGCCGGGGTCACACTGCTCATTCATTATACAAAAGATAGTCTGGAGACGTCACTCACCGCAAAATCCGTGGTTCGAATGCCGCGTGCCAAGCTTCCCCCTTGAAATCGTCGCCATGCGGCATTCGAAGCACGGATCTTGCGGTGACTCGCGTTCAATTTTGTATGCTCACTGTCTCTTGTATATTATATGAGCAGGGTGACCCCGGCTTTATATACACTCATTTAGGCTTTCAATAAAAACGCAAACGTGTTAAACATTTTCTTTTTTTTCTTTTTTTTTTTTTTTTTTGGGGGGGGGGGGGGTCACAAACAGTTGATGGGAAGGTCCGCCAGTGCAGTATAGAACAATCAATCAATTATTCTTATTCGCTTACGGAACATAAAAAGCAGAAGTTAACGCATCTGTATCAATAGCTTATTTGGCTAGACTTCGAGGACTACTAGCGTCATCACAAATAGTGGTAGACAACCGCACACCGACACGACGCTCATCCAGATCTGAACAAATCGGAGCGGTTATTCCAAAGAAAGCAAGCGGAAAAGGCTCGAAAGTGTTGGGCACTGGTTCCTAACTTCGCGGACGTTTTCAGTCACCCGTGACCTCCTGGCTGCAGGAGTTAAATGGTCTGCGATTGGAATAAAATTATTCACGCAACTGATATGCTGTTCACGATAATAATTATGCAAAACTAGTCACGTACAGTAGGTTACAGTGGGATGCTTCTTTCAAATTGTATTTAGTGTCTCAATTTTTTTCCTTTTAGGTGGAAAAATGCGTATCAGTCCAGTGACAACATGGTTTGTCAAAAACAGGTTGAGAACAAAATAGGACAATTCTGCAATCTCTCAGCTTGGCGCCCAACACCTCACAGTTTTCATTTTTACACCTGTGATGTTCAGAGAAAATTAGGCAACAAATTCGTGGGAGACGTTCTGGGCCATTCGCCAATATGTATATTCTAGAAGGTCACTCGCAATCGCGGTCGAATTGTCAACAAGTTTGCCGTTCAGATCACTCTAGAAATAGCCCTTTGACTTTATTATAGACAAGAAACAATTTGCTCTTTTGGGGTCACTACGCGACTTGACGACCGAAACCATTGCAGCGGCTCCGGCGCCTTACGACGCCGTGGCGAGACCTGGAGTGTGACTACAAGAAAGACCCTGACGTCCCCATCGCGTCGTCTCCCGCTCCGGCCCAGGTGTAACGCCTTCAGGGACGTAGTCGTCCTTACTTGCTGCCTGCGTGGACAGCCTCCCACGGCGTGGTCCACCATACTCATGACGTCACGCTTTCTTGTCGTGCCGCCGTTTCAAGCCCTTGACGTCACAGCCTATCCTTGCGGGCAGCTTCAGCGTTGCGGGACTTGAGCCTTTTTTTCTGATGTTGTAATGTTTCTCGTTGTTAGCATTCTTACCCTTGTTATTGTTCTACTCTACACGAGCCCTCAGGGTTGAACTTTTTTTAAGTTAGCAGAGCGCAAGCTGTGCACGTCACAGGGCGCCGAGCATCGAGCTGTGTGTCGCGGCGCTGTTGTGTATGGTGGTCGCCTCCTCTACGAGATAATGAACGGACTTTTATGTATCACCCGTAGAGCCTGTGAAAGGCAAGCCAATGATCAAAACGTCGTGACTAATATACGTGTCTACGTGTGCTCTAGTCTATATAATTGACTTCTTTTTGGGAACGTCACGTCCGTGGCAAACGGACACTTATTCACCAAAGATGGCGGCGTACGGTCAGTTGTTGTCACTTGTATGGTACCGGTACGGCTTCCTCTCGTGCTGGATTTACCGCCGGAGAAAGGCAGGCTTTACGTGCCCCGTGAGTACTTGAGCCCCCGACCCGCGTTCTTAAATTGCTGTCATCACGGGAAAGGTGATGCTCCGGGTGAAGTTCATGTAAACAACGCGGAGCGCAGGTTAAACACGAGTGCCGCAATCGCGTTTGACTGCGTACTCGAGTTCTTACCGATTGATGGTGAGTCTAGGCCGAACTCTGACGTAGCCCTCGCGTTCAACATGTGCCCTATACATTAGCCTTCTTTAGGTGACGCTGAAAATTCAACACTACGTCTTTGTCACTATCCGGAGGTGTTGGATACAGAACGAGGACAAGCTCACCCGCTTTAGGTTGCCTCTGTATATAGAATAACGAATGCAGCATTCGCCTACTCCCCCAACGCTTCTGATCGAACCTGAACTTCTTTTCCTATGCAATGGGATTCCAGGAAGAATCTATTTCGCCCTCATTGTGTACGGAATAGACAGTTAGGGTGGCAAGGCCGCGCTTAAGGGGTATTCACACGAGGGACAAATCTCGGGGATTTCTCCCCGGCACGCGCATTCCACGACGAAAACATCAGGCTTTGCGATGTGCGCGATTTCATTTCGTGATGCGCGCGTGCCGGGGAGAAATCCCCGGGATTTCTCCCTCGTGTGAATACCCCTCGCTGGCCCTCTTTTCCAGGTTCCTTGCGTCCGTATATATGATCGAGGGGAGTATTGTCTGGCTGGGTAGCATGGATCTTAAGACGTCGCCAGCTGCCTTCATCCGTCGATCTGGAGAGTTTGGATGATGAAGGGGGCAGGGGCGGATCCAGAACTCCGTTTGTTTGTTTGTTTGTTCGTTTTGGGGGGCGGAAAATTTTAAAGGATACTATTCTCCTATTCTTTCGTGTGCACCGGGGGTCCACCCATGTCAAATTGCCCTCCGAGAAGAGGGGATGGGGGGGGGGGGGGGGTGCCCCCTCCCCCTTTCTCTTGGATCCGCCCCTGAGGAGGAAAAATGCGCGAAGGCAGCGGCAGAGGAGGCCCCTTCGCATATTTGACCCCATTCGTTCTTTCGAGGGCTTTTGGAATAAATAAGGAGACTCAGTTGGTTGATGTCCGCTCTCGAAATTTCATGGATTTGACATTACGTGAGAAGATAAAATAGAATCCTGAGATCAAAGTTTGAAAAACGTAGCGCAAAAGGACAAGGACAAGGACAGTGCTCATACAGTGCCCACTTCTTGTGGGCACTGTATGAGCACTGTCCTTGTCCTTTCGCGCTGTGATTTTTCACCACGTGTAACATCTAGTTCACCTGATCATTTTGATCCCGAGATCGAATCCTGGCCATTTTCTTAACGTCAGCGACTCCGCGTTAAATACGGGCAACGTTCAACCTCGGCCGCCTGGAAGAAAAACCGTATGTGGCGTCGCCGCTACAGCCAGCTTACCTCAAAATTCCCAGCATGCACTGCGCGCGCCGCACGAGAGCGCGCGCTACTTTGCGGTAGGATCCATTGCACACGCACGTATTCTCTTCCCGCGTTCTTGTGATCAAAAAGACCGAACTCGGCTGTGCAAGATGCGTGGTTTTGGAAAAAAGAAAAGAAAGTACTGGCGGAATATATGGTCTTCCTTGGGTCCCCAGTACCAATGTGCTTACTACTGATCTCTATTGTAGTAGGCTGGATCGCGGATCGATCGAGGCTTGTCTTGCTAATGTCGAATGGCACCACCGGAAGCCTTCACTTGACACCAGCTAATGCATAGGACTCTAAGGGGAAAACGCGAAAAAGTGTCATTTCCCCGGCTTCTAAGCTGTTGTCGGCGCTAAAACTTTTTAGCTGCTGTTCAGGAAGCCAGCCGAATAGCTTCTGCACAAACATTAAAACTGACAGCCCTCACAGTTCCTATAAATTAATGTTTGAGAGTGACTCCGCTGACCGAAGAATGCAGTGCAGCTCAGTGAGACAAGTGTCACCTAGAGTTACCGCGGAGTCTGTGGCGGTTTCGATGAGTTGGGTTCAGCAGACGGCAAGCTTGAAGGCTTTGCTGCGCGGAATTTGCTCACTCCCGGAAAGCCAGTGCCAACATGGAGATTTTTCGACATTCATCAACTTCTGGGGTTCCCCCGTGGACGGTCTTATTGACGGCAAGTTTGTTTACTCCACTACGCGAGCAAGCTTGCCAACTCAGCCGTGCCTGCTCCGGCACGTTTGATTTTCTTAATCGGCGTTCGAACGCTTGACAAATACCTATTAGATCTTTAGACGCCCGATATACTGATCGCAGCATATCATAAAATACTCGCCTTCGAGCACAGCGTGCAAGCTTCAATATTTTTACTCTTGCTTGTTTCTCCCATAAACTTCCGTGTATTGCCTGGTGTCCAGTAATGGCTGCCGGTGATGTGACCGACGGACTCCCGATACGCGATCCAGCCTTCTACAATAGATATCAGTGGTGTCTACCAATGTGTAATGCCCCTGAATAAGGAAGGTAGCGACATATTCTCCCTCCTCCTCCTCCGACGCGCACACCTCTTATATTTATATTTTGCTCTTTTACAGCCGCGCGGCGATTGTAGCGCAGCCTGGATCGCTCTAAGATAACAGGGGGCCTTTCTATAGTTGGTTTATACTTCAGTGCTTGAGTCAGAGCGCAGTCAAAGGCTGAACGACGCGAAAAATACGCAAATGCATACACAAAGGCTAAAAGTGCACTGTCACGGTCTACCAGCCGCAAAGCATCTGCTCAAAGAAAGACGATGAAAGCCGTGACGTTGCACAGTCGGCGTTATTTGATTGGCAGCATGATCTCATAGCATGCACTGCACTCCGCCAGCATAGGCATTCCTTCTCTCTCCTCGTCCCGAAGGGGTATTCACACGAGGGAGAAATCCCGGGAATTTCTCCCCGGCACGCGCGCATCACGAGATGAAAACGCGAGGCTTTTGCACATCGCAAAGCCTGACATTTTCGTCGCGGGATGCGCGTGCCGTGGAGGAATCCCCGGGATTTCTCTCTCGTGTGAATACCCCTTCATGAACACTCCTTATTGTTGTATTTTGCTCTTTCGCGCTCGCGCGTCGAAGGTAGCGCCACCTGGATCGCTCCGAGATAGCAGGTGACATTCTTCAAAGGATGTCGCTACTTTTTCGTGTAATTCCGTGCTTTACCAATGTCAACGTGCCAGCTCCACCAAGTGGCTTCAAGAGCACTACACTATGCTTTTTTGCGTGTCTGTTCGCGCCCGGCATGAAGTCGTTGCGTACGTATATAGTTTTTATGTCAGTCTTGGTCTCACACCTGCAGAGCGACCTATTATATTCCGCAATGTGATTCTAGACCACGGCATGCTTCAAAATAGGAGACGATTGTGCTGACCGCCAGCTCTGGAAGCATGAGGAGGTTCCGGTTGCTTCTCAAACGTACGCCACCGTCATAGGTACGCAAAGAACACGCATACTTATCTGCATAAGTTGAATTATTCCCGTGGGAAATGTCTTTTACGGCTACAATTCTTTTACTTCGCCAGCTCTTTTCCTCGCTTAAAGTTTTTAAAGCCCTTCGAGCAAAGCAAAACAAAAGCTCTATGAGATGTTTGAACAGATATCCTCGGATTTTACGTAAGCATCGTAGTCGGCAGCGAAATCCTTAACTACATCTTGTATTTCAAGGAACGCACATGCACACAGATGTCACATAGTAATAAATGATCAGAAAATAACTGAGAGCAGACAGAGACGGACACAAAGAGGGTGGTCGACACTGACACGCGCTTGTCCATGTTCTCTTCTTCGTCTCTGTTTGCTCCTAAATTTCCCGAGCATCATGCACCAATTAGCCCAACAACAATTGTCTAGTAACATATGGTAGGCCAACTTTTTATGTTCCCGTGTATGCAAGCATAGTTCCTCATTAATTTGATGAAGGAGAGTTTCTGGCGACGCCATTGGACGAGTTACAGGCAAGGATCTAAGGAATAATGTGTCACTGGCGATTTGCTTGACCAAAAGTCGCTGTGGTCGGATCTTTAGGGAGATTAATTCTGATTTCATCAACGGACATAAGAGCAATATTACCTGTCAACTTTGAAGGCGTTAGTTTAGAAACACGATGACTTCTATCTTCCACCATACTTTTTCCACAGACCACTGAACTTGCCGTTCGCAACGGAGGATAAGTTGCCAGGGGAGACGTTTTCTTCTTCACTTGCCTCTGTCCCTTCTACTTTTAAGTATCTGTTTCTACCCCAGTCTCGGGTTAAGTTCCATCATGATAAATATCCACCAGCTCGCCTGCACTTTAACCGTTTTTTCATTAGGGGGGCTATGTTGCGCTTTTTGCACTCCCAGGAGACTAGGGAGAGGGAAGTGACGTCAACGACACAGCAAACGCAGATTGGGTGTTGATTTCGTTTTCTTCTGTCAACATCCAATCTGCGTTTGCTGTGTCGTTGACGTCACTTCCTTCTCCCTAGTCTCCTGGGAGTCTAAAAAGCGCAACATAGCACCCCTGGATTACAACTTG